TTCATAGTACTATAGGTCATTTTATTCACGATTATTTTCTCTTCCATACTTGATGTCTGACTAATGCCTCATGTCTTTGGAAATCATACGGATAATTTTTATTATTGCTTATTAGATGATAGCTTATTTTCAAGTTTATTTATACAGCTTTTATTATAAGCCAATGTTTATCTGAATTTTAATCTATAAGAATTCTTAAAACCAAAACTGAAATTGCTTTTGCTCAAAAGTTGTTTTTCATTTGCATGTTCCAAATGCCAGAAATAATTAGTTTTTCCTTCTCAATGTGTGGTTTCCTGGAATACTTAGTAGTATAAATCTGATCTACAAACCAAATATAGATATTGCTGCTTGGCAGATTCTTAGAAGTAGTTATTGCTTCACTGTTAACAGCATTGGTAATACTATCTCCTGAAGGTTCCCTTCCAGAATTGTTCCACCTTTTGAGGTTGAGGCATAATGCTGATATTAATTTCATGCTCAGAAACCACACAGTTAAATTGAAAGAAACAAAACAAAATAACAACAACCAAAAGAAGCCTTTCCAAATTCCAAAATAATCTCATAGGGACTGTGTGTTTCAGTGGTTAAGTGTACTTGCTCCTTTTCTAGGGGACCTTGATTTCATTACCAGCACCCACCTAACAGCCAACAACAATTATTAATTCTAGCTACAGGTGCTTTAATGCTTTCTTCTGACCTCTGTGGGTATTACAAGCACATAAGGTACACAGATGTACAGCTAGGCAAAATATACACATAAAATAAAATGGCATAATTTAAAATTAACCCTACAATATATTTGAAGAAGTTTGTGGTTTTGTGTTGGGGTTGTGTTCTTGCAACACAAGCCACAGGCAGTATGTGAGCATGTTGGCATCACTAGTCCATCTTTCACTGGCAATATGGACAAGGCTGTATCTAAGTAATCTTACTGTTAAAATGTGTTACAGAAGGGGCTAGGGAGATGACTCAGCAGTTAGAAGTGCATACTGCCTGTGCAGAGAATCAAGAGTTCAGTTCCCTGAATCCATGGACCCCACATCAGGCGGCTCACAACTCCTTGTAACTCTGGTTTCAATCAGTCTGGCCTTGCCTTATAGCCTCTGCATGCGATGCACTCATGAGCAAACACACACACACACACACACACACACCATTTTAAAAAGAAAAAAGAAAATACACATTACAGAAGTCTGGAGATACTACAACCGATTGCCCTCTTAGCTGACAGAAAAATGCATCTTCTGACTGGCTAATTCAAAGTTTAAGCATTTGGGGGAATGTGCTTTGATATATCCTGGATCTGTAAGGTTTTGTAATAATCTATAGATTCTTCTCTGATGTAGATGTTCTATTCAGTAGATAAGGAATGCCCAATAGTTGAAGAGTTTACTTTGCATGATGTTGATCAGTTTAACATCTAAACTAGCACTTTAGGATCACAAAGATGGTTCAGTGGTAAAAAGGATACCTTCTATATAACACATCAACATGGTGTCCTGTGGAATTATTTGAAGATTGTAATTCCTATAAACTAATGGCTAAGAAACAACAGATTGACATAGATTTAAACAGTGGGGGGGGGTAATCTAAAGTGCTTCTGTTTCCCTGTGTATTAGGGTCACCATGTTCCTACATAGTGTAGGCTGGTGTTTCGGGAAAGGCTACCTCTGCACAATAACTCTGAGTGATCCAAGACACCTAGATTAAGTTACCATTCCCTGCAGTTCTAAGGTCTTTTTGTCTTCTATGTAGCTCATGTGGACAGTTAATTTGGCATGTGGTAGGAATTTGTACCTTCCATATTTCAAGCCTTTACTGTGGAAATGTACACTATGAATCCTCCAGATGAACACGCAGGACAAAGCACTTTGGGAAGGCTGACTTTTAAGAAGGAACTCTCCAACTTGTAGTGTTGTGGAATATTTAACTATGTAAGGATGTGTTACATTTGTTTATGATGCATTTGTTTAACTGTGTTAAGATGTATTGTTTCACCTTGCCTGCCTAAGGAACCTGATTGTTCTAATAAAAAGCTGAACAGCCAATAGCTAGGCAGAAAAGGATAGTCAGGGCAGAGAGAATAAATATGAGGAGAAATCTAGAAAAAAAGAAAGAGGAACCAGAGAAGGAAGGAGGGGAGGAAGAAAGAAACAGACACACCTGAGGCCAGAAACCAGGCAGCAGCCAGCCAGAAACACAAGCAGTGAAACTAAGATATACAGAGGAAAGAAAAGTAAAAAAAATCCCTTCCCCGAGGCAATAGGTAGATAAAGAGAAACTGGTTAATTTAAGTTAAAGGAGCTAGCCAGAAAAAAAGCCTAAGCTAGACCGAGCATTTGTAACTAATAAGAAGTCTCAGTGTCATGATTTGGGACACAAAAGAAAAAGCCTGGTTTACGCATAGGTTCACAAAGATAGGGGCTGCTAACAACCTGCATAGTTAGCTTCTGAATGACAGCTGAGTCACATCCTTGTCAATAAACTGCACACTCAGCACCTACTTCTAGGCTGTTCTTCTGTGATGCACCTTTAATTCAGAGACTCAAAGAGCATGTCTCATCAGCAGAGATCCACCCATCCTCTCTTCACAGGCTTTTGGGAAGAGATTGGTTCTAGCTCTCTAGGCTCCTGAAATAAAAGAAAATTCAATAGGGGGAAGAAAGTTTGATTTGAGTGTTGCACTAGGCCTTTCATATTTTCATAGTTAGCTAAAATATTATGTTGTTGATAATTCTGACCTCTCCATCAGTCTTTCTAAAAGATTCCATTATGTATCTAAAAAAGATCCGCTTCAATTATAATTTTGGATACATAGAGGTCATTTAAAAATAACATTATAGAATGGTAAACTGCACTAAGAGTTATATAGACTTTCTTTTTCTTTATGATATTTAGTCAGAATACTAGTTCTTTTCTATACTATAGATAAGGTCTTTATTTTGAAATTGTATTCTCAGCATCATTCTCTAACAGGATTACATCCATTCCATAAAAAGTTTATTCACAGCGTTTAACTTTTCAGTAGCTAGTAAATTAAATTTGTATCATATAACCATCAATGCTTTTATATTACTGTTATAAATTATTATAGTGTTGTGTTGCTTATTGGGCAACTTCCTAGATATCGACACTGTCCTCAGCATTTTTACTGTCTTAACTTAATGTGCTTGACAATTCTACTATGTAGTTACCTTCACAGTTGCTTTGCATGTGTGGAAGCTGTGAGACAAAAGGCTTAGTGAGTGCTAGTACAGGCTCTGAAACAGCTAAGCTAAGAGTGATTCAGATGATAGAGTCCAATGTTGCCTCACCACTGGCATTGTCGTTTTACTACTGCTCCGAAGTCTCCTTTGTTTTCTGTGATTTTTTTTCTGTATTTGAACTTACTGAGTGCAGAATTAAAATGTGGAGACAGGAATGCACACAAAGCATCAGTTAAAATAAAACAATCATCTGAAATCTCTTAGAGTTCCGATAAGGTCATGTTTTTCTGTAACTACAAAACTGAGAATGCTGTAAACATTTTAAGCTTACAAGTAGTACCACATTTTTATGAGCAATCTGAATCTAAACCAATTGCATTGTTAATAAACAACGATAAGGAAATATCTAAATACACTATGATAGTGTATTTCCAGAATTAGGTTATCTTAGACTCCTGTGAAATATAAATTGTATATTCCAGAATTATAATAAATATTTTCAGTAGCTCTGTAATCCGGTCATTGTTGTTGCCACTGTGAACTTCCTAAAAGAATATGTACTATTAAAGTATCAACCTGAATTGTAACTGTAGATACATTTTTACCCAAAAAGAAACAGTTTTACAATTTCACCTTGCATACATAGAACTGAAACTGATGTCTCCTCAGTGTTATTTATCCTTATGGAGAGCAGTAAATGTACCTGGCCATTTGTATTTTAAGTCTTCTTTTCTCTCACTACTTTGAAGGTCATATCCCATGAAATACTTCTCATGAGTTTTACATATCAGAGTGTGATTTTTAAGTATGTGACTTTATTCTTAATAGCAGAGATGTGATGTGTGGTATCCTGTTGGCATTTAATTTTTCTTAATGGTGGTGGTATGGAAGGATGATTGAGTAGATAAAAGCTTCCTAGTGATCCAAATGACCTAAGTTTGATCCCTGGAACCCATACATGAAAATAGGGAACCAACTCTCACAAGTTTTCTACTGACCTATGCTTGTACATTAGCACTTTTACACATACATGCTCATAGACATACAAACATGTACATGCACAATAAATAAATAAATGAAAAGAACTAACAAAGAGGAACTCAGACTGCCATGTATGTAATTTTATCCCTATACCTATAAAGCCTGACTCCTGACAAATAGGAAAGTTCTCCACCCTGTTCTGTCCCCTGTAGAAGTGGGGCACACAGAAAATCCTTAGCTCACATATACTTCGAAGTTCATTCATCACCTTTGAAATCTACTTGTTTATATGCCTGTCTTCTATTAAGTGAGGACTTAAAAATCAATTTTGTTTTTACTTTATTCGCCTATTCTAAACTGAATTTTTTTAACAGTTCGAGTTCTTCCATTTTAGCACTCTGTCATACATTTAAAACTTTTGACTGATCAAAAAAAAAAAGATGCTGGGCAGTGGTGGCCCACACCTTTAATCCCAGCACTCAGGAGGCAAAGGCAGGCGGATCTCTATGAGTCTGAGTCTAGTTTGGCCTACACATCCAGTTCCAGGACAGTCAGGACCGTTACACAGAGAAACCCTGTCTTGAAAAGCCGAAAAAAGAAAACAACAACGACAAACTTTTGACTGTTATTTAAAAATCACAGTACCTATATTATACTACTTTTTCCCCACAGTTTTCCTCAGTACTAACCCAGAAGTATGCTGCCATGTTGTACTTCCACAGCACTTACCTTAGAAATAAATGTCTTAAGAAGCTGTACATTAAATAAGCTAATGTGATAGGAAGTAACCTCACTCAATTTCATTTGTAGTTCCAGGTGCAGCATTATGTCTCTCAGAGTCTAGTAACCCTAGGAAGTTGCAGCGTGTTGAGGAAGTCTATCATATTGTTACTACTATCAGAAGTGAACAGCTTTGTGGACCACTTGGGAGCCATCAATCAGGTACATGTAACTTGAAGCTGTAACTCGTTAACTTGTTCGTAACACGACTATCAGCTTTTGACTTTGTCCTCTTTTTTTCCCTCCCTTTATTGATTTGGTGCTGTTTCACTCATTGCATTGTCTCTAATACATGTGAATATTTCTGCTTACTGGAATTGCACAGGGTGCTTCAGCCAGTCAAGGTTTTGAATGTATGTTTCTTTTTTAAATAAACCCATCTTGTCCTCTTTACTGGCACACCTGCACCAATGTTCTGTTGTTCTTAGCAAAGGAATATTTAGATAAATAGACTTAAATATCCCCAGTGGTAATATACAGTGAAATAGTGAGGGGACAAAGGTGGACCTGAGAGGAGCCTAAGTAGAGAATGATTCTTCTACCCAATTGCCTGAGAGAAGTTTCTAGCTGAACTTGAAATATTCTGTTGTCAATCTGTGCAATCTGTGCAGAGGTCTCTGAAGCAGGATAGTGGGCATTAGTATTGCAAAAGCTTTCCTGATCATTCCACTATGCAGCCTAGACTTGACACCAGTGCTTCTAGCCCTCTCATCTGTATGTTTTACATGTTACCTCTGACAAACATTTAGAAGGAATATAAGCCATTCCCAGATCCTGATGTTGATAATTGATGTTACATGTGTTTACCTTGTAGTTACGTTATTATTCTTACTGTCTCCATTGTACAATTCAGAAACACAATTAAAAAGAAATCAGAGATAAGTTGGCATATTTATGTAGAAGTAAAATAAATTGAATTACTCAAATATATCATAAAGCTTTAAATTGACTTTTAGCTAAGTATTTACCTCTGACTTCTCTACATTTAATAGAATGGTCTTAAAGCTGTTATTCTAGTCTTGTTCAGTGGATGACATGGTATAAACTAGTCAGCAATTATTTAGGTGATTCTGAGAGATAAATGTATAAACTCACTGTCACAGATCTAAAGGAGAAATGTCTAAGTCAAACTGACTACTGTGAAAAAACCAAAATGTTGAAATAAATGTCTGGTAGTGTTTATACAAGTCCCAAGGTCAAAGAACTGGTCATAGTAGTTTATAAGCCCCCAAAGCACTTCCTGTCAAAGGAACAACTTAGAAAAATAGATGTGAGTGGAATCAGCAGAGAATACCAGAACACAAAGGAACTTGACTATTACATGTAATAAGAGGTTTCCCAAGGGTTCTGAGGAAAACAAGATAGGTTTGGTACTTAACAGAAAACAGTGTGGAAAATAAGTTGAATTGAATTATTTATTTGGAGCATAAGAACAAGTTGAGAAGTCAAAATTTCATGTTTGTAGCTTGATTTAATTTTGAAGTAGCATCATACTTCTTATCCAGCTTACAGATATGGAACCAAGCCTCAAATCAATAAGACACTTGACCGTGACTTCAGAAGGACATTTGCAAAAGCCATACTTTAAACTTAGGTGTTCTGTTATGCTACTTTAATAAAAAGGGGGCTGGAGAGATGAGTTAATGGTGAAAACTACTCACTGTTTTTGCAGAGGACCCAGGTTCCGGCTCAAGCAGCCATCTCTGGCATCTCACAGCTGCCTGGAACTCCAGTTCCAGTGGGCCCAATGGCCTCTTCTGAGTCGAGGGATATCAGCTTGCCCTTGGTATACATAAACACATGCACTTTAAAACACACGAAGAAGGGAGGGTAGGAAGGCCGAAGCAATGAAAGTTGATTTAAATAATAAAAGAGGGGGGAAACAAAATAAGGCAGCAAACAATAACTAATTGTTTGCAGGCATTTGTGTTAAATACTTCACTTGTGCGCTGCTAATCAATCCTTTTGACAGCCCTCCAAATATTAGTATTGATCAAAGACAAAGAAACCGTAAGTCAGCATTTCTAATGGCAAATAGAATGCAGTGCAGCCAATTTAAACAAGTGGATTAATGAGCAGCTATGGATATTTGGGAGTGGGCTGAAGATTCTGGACTGTACTGTACTGTCAAGAATGGAAGCATTTCCACACTGCAGAATTAGGTTACTAAGGGCTACTTTTGCTGTCATGACCAGGAGGCTGTATGCTGAAGCAGTAGGTTCTGGATATTCTTTGTGGTTGGGAGTGTTAAGTCTCAGCACAGTGTACAGACACAGCCTGTGGGAGCCCTCTGTAAGATCTAACTCACTGCATCACTTCCTTTCAGCTCAACAGTTTCTCTTAATACAACCAATAACATAATCACGGAGAGACAAAGATATAATTATGTGCATTCTCCACTTAGTTCAAACTGTGGAAAAGAGTTATAAAGCCTTGAGTGATAACTGTAGATCACAGTGTCCATCACATCTAAGGCTCAGAGAGTCAGCGACATACTCTTAGAGGATGACCAGTCATAAGTAGTACACAGTTAAGAGCTTACATATGGGAAAGCCAGGTGGAATGCAAAGATACACGGTTGAAGAACTTGGATATGTTAGGAAGCTACTTATCCCCAGATCTCACTACATTGTGTGTACCAGCAGTTTCTAAAGGAAGGTTAAAGTGGAGAGATTAGCTTTAACAACAAAAACAAAGAATTTCCCACTGAAAAGAGTGAGGCTACTATGGAAAAACACTCGTGTGTGGACAGAGATTGAGTTTGGCTATGCTAAACTTGAGAAAGCATTGAAGTAACCTACATGTAGCCTGATGAAAATATGAGACAATCTTTGGAACAGTGTAAGCTGTTCTGCTAGATAGGGGTTGCATATCAGATATCCTTCATGTCAGATATTTACATTATGATTCATAATGAGCAAATTTATGATTTTGAAGTAGCAAAAAATAATTTTATGGTTGGGAGTCACTACAACATGAGGAACTGCTTTAAAGAGTTGCATCATTAGGAAGATTGAGAAAAACTGCTCTATAGGACACGAAACTTTTCTGAACCCAATTTAGAAGGTCACTGTTACTTATCAAAACTAGAAAAAGACACTAACAGCAAATACCAAAGCCTCGTGTTGATACCACTCATGCACATAAAAAGAGAGGCTGTACTATATATTAGGAAATGGAATCAAGCAATATATGTCAGTAATAATTCCAAGTAACCAAGCCGGGCGTTGGTGGCACGCCTTTAATCCCAGCACTCGGGAGGCAGAGGCAGGCGTATCTCTGTGAGTTCGAGGCCAGCCTGGTCCCCAGAGTGAGTGGCAGGATAGGCTCCAAAGCTACACAGAGAAACCCTATCTCAAAAAACCAAAAATAAAGAAAAAAATCTTAATAATTCCAAGTAACCAAGTAGAATTTACCCAAGGAATAAAACAAAATAATCAACATATTTTAAAAAGTTATAACAAGCCCTATTTTAGAGTATGTAGGAAAGACAATTGGCAAGATTTATCCTTCATTAATGATTGAAACAAAAAAAATGTACTAAAGTGGAAGAAAATTGCCTGAATATATTAACATTTATCTGTGAAAAAAGTTAGTTATCCAATGTGAAAGAGTAAGTGATTATTTTCCCAAACTGGGAACATGGAATATGGAATATTCTCTCTCTCTCTCTCTCTCTCTCTCTCTCTCTCTCTCTCTCTCTCTCTTTCTCTCTCTCTCTCTCTCTCTTGTGTGTGTGTGTGGGGGCTGGGTTATTATAGAATTACAACATTTCTTTCTCCCATATCTTCCCTCCAAACCCTATACTCCCCCATCTGCTCACCTTCATAGTAATGGCCTGTTTTTTTTCTCTCTCTTTTTATTATTATTATTATTAATTCAAGTTAGGGAACAGGCTTGTTTCACATGTAATTCCCCTCTCCCTCTCCCTCCCCTCACCCCCATTCCTTCTCCCCCATATATATATATATATGTATATATATATGTGTGTGTGTGTGTGTACACATATGCATACATGTATACATACATATTGTAAACATAACCTGTTTTTTTAGTATGTTGCTTTTGTAGTTCTAGTAAGCCCTGAAAATACAGAATATTTTTGTATCATTTCCATTTAGTAAGTTAGGCGGCTGTACTATTGGAATAATACAGGCCCCACTATCCTCATTTATAGTCAACATGGTCATGAAGATAGAAAATCAAAAATTGTTTTCTATGGCTGAAGTTCTGTTAATAATTCCTCATACAAATAGCCAATCGATTTTATACTTACTTTAAGGCAATTCCATTGGGAAAGATTGGGGCAATGCTCAGTATGATAATGGGGAAATATTTGAACAGACTCTTTATAAATTGCTATATTAGTGGTCAGAAAGAACATGAATAATTCACAACAACAGGAAGATTGCCTGGATAGGATTGCTAATATAAAAAGACTAACAGTACTCTATATTGAAAGGTGGGTATCAACCTGAATTTATAAATTGGTATTTGGACTGTGACAAATGCACACAGTTTCTCAGAAAGTTAAGCATTCTCCTAAACCACTATTTGGCTCCACAATTCAATAACTATGTTTACATTTTGAAATTTTACCTGAATGCTAGTTGCATCTTTGTAATAGTTTGGATGGTAAATGTCCCCCAATAAGCTTCAGTATTTGAACAATTTTAGTTACCAACTAGTGGTGCTGTTTGGGTAGGTTTAGGTAGTGTGCCCTTGCTGGAGGACGTATGTCACTTGGGACAGTCTCTGAGAGTTCAAAGCCTGACTCCTTTAGTTTGCTCTGTGCTTTGTGCTTGCATTTGAAGATGTGAGCTGTCAGCTACATGATCCTGCCTGCTTTTTTCCATACCTCTCTGCCATGATGGGCTCTATACTTTTGTTCATTGTAGGTAGAGTTTTCTTGTGCACAGCCACTCTCAAATAATCACTCAATTACAAATGTTTGGCCTATAGCTCAGGCTTGTTACTAGATAACTTTTTCATTTAAATTAACCAGTATTTCTTATCTATGCTTTGCCACATGGCTCCTGGTTTGTTACCTCATTTTCTCCACATCCTGCTTCCTTGGCAGTTGGTTGATATCTCCCCTGACTCCACCTTCTTCCTCCCAGAGTCCTCTGCTTCTGGATGCCATGCCTATACTTCCTGCCTGA